TAACTAAACTGTTGTTTATGTTGGTCCAACAAGAACATGGAGTTTCTGAATATTATAGTCCATAGATATCTTAAATTGAAAAGAAAAATTTAGGGGTCTAATGTGGTAGCTAGTATTTAGCCTTTGATGCTGTATTTGCAAATGTTGAAATACTATTTGTTGGTACCTATTCATAAATGTGAATTTGTTTGCACCTATTTTCGCCATAGCCATGGAGAAACATGTTTGGTAAAGCTTGAACTATAATAATTTAGGATGATTAAACACGTTTTTTATCTACTTTGTAGAACCTGCTACTTGAATTATACACAGTTTTTTGTAGATGATATGCACTGCCAATTTCTTGAAATTCTTCAGTCTTTTGGATTCATATACATCAGCACCATTCATGAACAAATGGCGAACTACGAACCGACCAACCCGACCCAACCCAACCCGACCGAACTTGATCGGGTTGGGTTGGGTTGGGTTTAAATACGTAATTGGGTTGGGTTGGGTTGATTTTTTTTCAAACCGAACACGTTGGGTTGGTTTTGGGTTGAGTAAAAACCCGACCCGACCCAACCCACGCCCACCCCTAACGATGACCGCTCTAATACCACTTGATAGAAATATAAATCATATCTAAAACAGAAACCAAATCTAGATGCAAATATCATAGATTAAAATAACTAAAAGCCTAGGATCTGCATCATGCCAAAATATTAGGATTCACGGATTCAAGTTATATATAAATGAATCTATTATGAACGATTGTTTAGTGCTGCGAAATTATTATGACAATCAATCACGTACTGATGAACACGAATAAAGGGGTGTGGTTTGTGATCTTCCTCAACCAAATCGCCATTATTTCCTTAATGGAACCGCCGTCTCCCTTCTAGATGGAGAGAAGGGAAACTGTGTATAATTTGGTATGTTGGGGACCAAAACCAAAAATGTTTTTATATATTGCTCAATTAGAGTTCCCATAATCCCCTAATTATAACAATATTGGTATCTACTCAATTAGCCCATATTTATTAAATATCTAATATAATTGAATTAAATATGTTGGCATTAAATAGAAAAAACCATTGATTTTTCCAACCTCCTAAATATTTAGGAGTGCCATTAAATAGAAAAATCTTTGATTTTTCTAACTTCGTAAATAATTTAGAAAACCGTTAGTTTTCCTAACACTTCTTTCCTTGATTGTGTCTATTTATAAATTTCTAATAAGGTTTCGAGGGTAAATGAGTCATTAGCTGGCTTTTAACTTTCAAGTTTTATTCACCCATCTAGTCTGCGTGCTTTTGTTAAAGTATATTGGCTCGCCTCTTTACGTTGAATGTCGCTTATGAGATTTCGAGCTATCAATGCAATGCTTATTAGCTTTGTTCTGAGCTTGTATTTATTTCAAAATGCTCAGACACACAGTCTCACTTATGATCCTAAGTAAACATTTATTTGATGACAAATAGTACCTGAAAATCATTTATGTTAGACTTTAGGATTTAATTTAGATTTTCTATTGAGAGAGCCTAAAGGTAGATTCCTGAAAATTTTGTTGTTTGCTATGGGCCTTAAAAAAAAATTCTTGAATTTCTCGGTTCGATGCACTGACTTTTTGTGAATAGTATGATTGGGTCATCAATCAATAATAGCCCCTGAAATGCAAACTTATCTGGCAAACTTGTGCACTCGAGATAAGAAAAATATTGCAACTTTCTATGTATCAACGATGATTGACGTGTTCAATAGATGAATCGACTCCATAATTGTATTTTTCAATATGCTGGTCTTTCTATAACACGTGGGGCATATGCCCGATCTGGACCGTTTACGGCATTAGTATTCAATGGTTAAAATTACTTCATTTTTGAATGATTATGATTGAGTCTGTTGAGATTCAACGACCAACTATGTTTAAAACATGTATATCATGCCACTGTCATTTGTTTCTTCCTTAAGCATGAAAGATCTTCTTGCATTTTTCTCCTCCTCAAAATGCCTTTTCAAAGTGATTCTCACGAAAATATTGTCAGCGAGGGACTTGACCTTGTCTGGTTAAATTACAAGGATCCGACGCTGGGATCCAAGGATAATAAGCTTGCATTCGATCAAATGCGTTCCTGGACAACACATTTACTGGACTTCCATTGTCCACAAGCATGAGATTAAAACTGTCGTCAGCTATTGTTGCCCTGTGACTATAATCTCATTCTTATTAGCAACGTTCTCAATTAAAGGATGTTTATCACTACTAAAAATCAGCTTTTCACCTACGATAATCCGTTGGTAATCAGAAATGGATTATCCGTAGATAAAAGTATTAGACTTTTAACTACAAAAATCACCAACAGAATTTTTGTTGGTAAATGTGGTATCTCTTCACCAACGGATATTCTGTGCCTAATTTTATTGTTTAATATGCTTACCATTTATCAACAGCATTTTCGTAGGTGATGTAATTCAACTTTTTTGTCTAAAAAATGTGTCAACCTTACACCTACGAATTTTCTGTGAGTGAAGAGTAGTTCATATTACCAACGAAATTGTCGTTGCTAATATTAATCAATTTTAATAATTAAAAAATTCAAACATTCTCCTACGGAATTTTGTGGGTGAAGGGTAATTAATTTTTTCAAAAAATAAAAAATAAAAATCCAACCTCTTCACCAACGAAAATTCCGTAATTGAAGATTAATTCATATTGCCTATGGGAAATCCGTTGATGATATTAATCAATTTTAATAATGCTAAACCAAATAAATTTTTATCCCAAATCGAAAGTTCACAAGAAAATCTTTTGAAATGTCCTCTATAAATTAGTAGTCTAATAAGTGATTAAACAACTTTTTGGACATTTCAATTCAATTGGCTAAAAGTTAAAAAATTTATAATTCTTAAACAATAGTAAAAAATAAATAAATAATTTTATTTGGCCACGCCTCGCACCTATACCGCTATTTGTTGTTCCGAGTGTATATGATAGCGAGAAAATGTTGTTTATGTAATTAAACAAACACAGTTTAATCCACACGAGCGTGACTAAATTATATATATATATATATATATATATATATAGTGTTGGAAAATGTAGTATGAAAAACTAAAATTGCAGCCAAGAAGTAAGAAAAAGAAGAAGAAGTAATAGTAGTAGTAGGAAATGATAATTCGAGGCAAGTGATGGCACTTTCTCCTTAAGACAATATTGCCCCGCTACAGTGATCACCGTTGTCGGCACTTGTTTCCCAAGATATACGGATTCAATTCTTGTGGTAGCAACACTTCAAACAACAAGACAACGGCGAACGTGACGGAATTCCCTCTCTACAAGGAAAACGGTTTTAGAATGAATTTGGAAGAGTTTTTACAAGATATTTTACGAATGCACAATACACATATGGTATTGGAATGCAAAAGGGACGTCTAAGAGTTTCTATATATAGAGGATGATGGGTTGTGAATGAAATGTCGCGCCCCAAACTCGACAACACTTGCCAAATGTCTCACCATTTACTGTCCCTAGACTATCGCCATCGCCTCGCTCGAACGATAAAAATAGTAACTTTTTAGCTAGCTTGTCGCTGGCCTGTCGCTCGAGCACTAATCCTGTCGCTTGAGTGACAGTCCGCCCTAAGTTAGCAACAGTCTTAGTCAATTTTTCAGACAGTTTCCTCTATTTTATTCCCAACTTTGGACCGCAATTTCTCATTCATCCAGAATTGGTTTTGAGATTCCAAATGCACTACGACGATCTACTCGACGAGTAGAATAATTTGGTCTATTTACATTTATAATTTGACCATTGGATCATGTCCAAATATTTGGCCGAAGTTGACACGAAAGTCATTTTTCCCAAGTTTTTGGTTTTGATACTTAACCAAATTTTCAATCTTCCAAACCAATTTCCAACACTATTTACCGCACTGGTTTTTACCAATTGTAATGACAGACATTTACCAACGGAAAATCGGTTAGTAATTATCAATATTTTTACCAACGAAATTTCCGTTGGTAAAAGGCTTACTCTTTACCTATGACGTAATCTGTTAGTAACTATCAGTGACCCTCAAATTAACAATAAATTTGTGGTTGCTAATATTCCGTTGGTAAAACTATTTTTTTTTTTTTTTTTATAGTGTTAGGTAGTGAATTATGTTGATTCCAACGATTTTTAGATGCCAGATGACAGCAGCTTGCTTACTACCCTTCCTTTTCGATTTTGCTATTTTCCTTTTTGAATGAGTTGGGACAATAACTGTACTATCGTCTCCTTTAAGTTCTTCTCGATATCTTTAGATAATGCTATCTTCATGATCATCACCGAAGGGTTCATCCTCAAGATTCCAGTACTTATATTTTAGTAAGATTTTCTTCTTGGCTCATTCTAAGGTAATTTAACCGGTGGTCATTTGCACAAAGCGATAAGATCATGGTTGCCTTCGTTCTAATTCTCGATCAACCCTCTGCATCTATAGTCACCTATTGCTGTTCCCTTTTCAATCCATTTGAGATTATTACGAGTTAATTCAAATGCTCACTATCACACAGGTAAAATAAATACTTTAAAGCGACTTTTAGAGAAAATTGCTGAAAACGTTCACAATTCCACAAATCAAACTTTAACGTAAGACAGCATTATAATCTTACAATCTACTCCTCTTTTCATGAGGACATTCATGACAGCCCACATTTTCAAATGAATGACTTAACCAATTGAGTAATGCTAGTCAGCATCACTATTGGATTTTGATACCATTACTTACAACTTAAGTTATAAGCGCATCGAGAACAAGTAATTATAAACCATAAGTTAAGTTTTAACTTGAGGAAACGAAATTGAGTCATTACAAATGTCATTGAAGTAGGATAAAATACAACTCAAGCAATCATTATTCAAAGAACTAAGAAGCATCCAAACCTAATAAATTAGTTGAAGTTAAGGAACAAGGTAACCTAATTCACCTTAAAATCACAAACATTTGCAGGACTAGGACCGATCAAACTCAATGCTATTTATCTACTTCTATGGTTTTCCTTTTCTCCAAGAAATCTCCTCTCGTTTCCATCTTCACGGGCAAGGGAGCCGAGAACACAAAACCTCCCATTTCGATGGGTTTACTTTCACTTCCTCGATGGTTTATTAATTCTTTTTCGCCATCACTTCCACGAGAGGAACCTCCATTTTCCAATTGATCTTTCTCGTCCTCCTCCTCCTCCTCATCATCATCCTCCGCCTCTTTCGAAGATACTCCAATTTCTTCAACTTCTCGGCATAGATTATCAACGAGCTCTCTCTTGTTATCAATCGAATCACCCCCATCAATGCTAATAATGTTACAGTCCCCATTCGAAGATGGCTTCCCGCTTGATCTGTAAACCCTATAAACATTCCCATTATCGGCAAAGCTCACACTCTTTCTAGCCTTTGATGGAACCCCACCATCCCTTCTCATCAAACCACCATCTCTATTCTGTAAAACACCTTGATTTCTTATGTTGGAAATGCAACTGCCACCAGAGTGTTCAATCAACTCGACTCTGTCGTCATAATCGGATAGCCTTTCTACTAGACCTTTCAAATTCTCCACATTGACATTGCCAAAGATTCTCTTACCATGCAAAACCCTGGATTTAGCATTATTCTCCCCATTCCTCACGTTCTTTTCTAATCTACTTGAAAGACCCCTTCTTTTAAAACCATCAATAAACTCTAAGAAATTAATCAATTCCCTGCAAACTGATCTTTTCCCATCTCTAATCATAGGATCAGCGCCCTTCAAAAAATAAATAAATAAAATAAAAAAATTCAAAAAGCCCACATCAGATCCGCAGCATGTATTATTTATAAAACAAAACGCAAAATTATGCGTATATTTTGAACGCGAGATTTAAATTAATACACATCAGAGGTAAATGAGATGGCTAATCATGTACTATATTTTAATCGCAACTACAGTCTCCACAACGTAAGATAAATTCCAACAAATTTGTAAAAGATTTTCCTTTTTACCTTAATGGAGTCGAGTTTGAGAAGCAGGGTCATGGTTTTATGAGATAAAGCTTCGTAATCAAAATGGCTATTTTTTGAAACTGAGGATTTCAGAAAGCTGAGGGTTGATTTGATGGAAGCAAGATCTTTGAGCTGCCGAAGGGTCCTTGATCTGCGTGCAAGGAAGACTCTGAAGTGGGACTGGATAATAGACGCAGCAGCCTCGCGAAGGGACTGAAAAGAAGACGGAGATCGCTGGTGGAGAGCGGATTCGAGGGCGGCGATGCGGCGGAGGAGGGAGTACACAGATGCGGTGTGGTGTGTTTCCGATTCTGTTTGTGGGGCTTCTTGGAAATGGCGATGGGGGTAGTATTGAGGTGGATTTGGGTTGTGGGGTGGTGTGGTGTAAGGTGGATTTATGTGGGTTGGTGGGTGGTTAAAGTGAGAAGGTGTAGAGTGGAGGTGGAGCTCCACCGCTGGCGGTGGTGGAAGAGGGTGATGGTGACAAGTGGAGTAGGTAGTGTAGCAACAATTGCATAAAGAGGTGGAAGTGGCGGGGTTGCAGATGTGGTGGTGCGAGGCCATTCTCTGGCGGATGGAACCTTTGTACTGCGATCCTGTAAAAGGATTTGATGGCACCGAGTGTGTGGGGCTTCTGTGTTTATTTCATTTCATTTTCACGAGTGGCTTAGAATGGGAAAAAAGGGTATAATTCATCACTCAACATTTTTAGTTGTTCCAAACTTGTCACCTAACTTTAATTTTTGTTTCAATCTCATCAAGACAACAATTTGACACCAGATATTCGAAAGCATCGGCAACGATTTGACACCAGGTATTCGGATATTAGAACCAGTGAAAATTCGTGAAATCATAAAAAAAAAAAACTCTAAATAATATTGACAAATTGAACACAACTGTCGCGTCTAAAAGTGGATAAACCAACAAAAAAAGGTCTGTAAATAGGAAAAGTACATCTGATGTGGACAAATTGAACACCGTGGGAAACCTAGTTCAAAAAGAGAGGAGCTATTAGCGAGAATTTGAGAAAGTTAAAAGTAACCGTGAAGTGTTGTCGTAGTTGCTAAATGTACATTTTTCTTCTAAAAATAGGAATATTAACGACGATCCATAAACGATAAACACTGTATATTAATACCTACTCATGCAGTCTCATTTGTCCTTGTCGATTTTTTTTTTATTGGTAAATGTAAATTATATTGATAAAAAATCACGTACAAGTACATCGGGCATGTCCGGACAAACAAAATAAAAAGATGTACAAACGACTAGATCTAACAACCTAATGACGTAGACTCAAAATGAATCAAAATACGCAGATACAAAGAAAATATAACTTTGTATACGTGTGTTTTAATTCGTCTAAAAACGATATCAACTTGCAGTCTTAAATTCTCAAAAAATTTCATGTTCCGTGTCATCCATAAGTGGTAAACGGTGGTAGCAAATGCAATTCGCTTCACATCCTTTGCCAAGATGTGCCTCTGGCTACCTTTTTAATCAACTTCAATGCACTAGGTAGTGTAGACACAAAGCTTCTAATGTCAAGCCACACACAAACATTTTTCCCAAACGAAAGCCCTAAATTTACATGTAAAGAAAAGGTGTTGCATCGTCTCAGACCCGGCACCACAAAAACAACAATTTTGGTCTATTTCAAGTGTACAAGTATATCCTTCGTAAGCAACTTTGACTTTGTTCCAAGCCACAAGATAAAAGCATGCTCCGAGGTGACGTGACCATTCCAAATAGTTGTTGGCCATGCTATTTTTTGCCCCTTCAGCCGAAAATAAACATATGCTGCCGCTATATTGAATCTGCCCAAGACAACAGCCCACTCCTCCAACCTATGTGCACTTGCCTGCGTGCGTTTAAGCTCGCTGTCAGCCCATGTCTGTCCCCCTGACTGCCCATCTCCGTATGGCTGTTGAAGTTGGGAAATCTGCCTACATAATTCCATCAACTTTTTGAACAACGGGGAGTCATCTTTCTTAAGCGTATACTCCCAAACATCCATCCCACGCAAAATAAATTGGTTCACCTACCTTACCCAAAGAGTGTCCTTCACGCTATGAATATTTCAAAGAGTTTTAACAAGTAGTGCCAAATTCCAACATTTAATATCTCTAAATCCAAGTCCACCCTCATGTTTCGGTAAACAAACATTACCCCAAGCAACCAATGGCTTCTTAGATCCCCAGAGGAAGTTACGACATGTAGTAACAATCTTCGAAACAATCGTTGCCGAAATAGGAAGAATGGAAAGCCAAAAACATTCAACACCCCCGCATAAGACAAGGATATTCTAGACCATGCTCCAATGACGGCCGAGATTTTGTTGATAAAGGAGTTATAAGAGCTTACTTTCAAGGCAAATAACAAATAGAAACGGAGATAAGGGGTCACCTTGACGAAGTCCCCTCTTTTCCTTAAAGAATCCATAAAGACCACCATTAAGCCCAGTGCAATAGGTAGGCGTAGTAATGTATTCCATCACCTATCCAATGAACTGCGGAAAACCAAGTTCAACAAGCACACTCCAAATGTTCTCTGTCATACTTCTACCTTCCACAAACGCGGCTAGAGCTTAATCAATAATTGAATCAAGAATAGGACCCAACCGAGATGCAAAAATCTTAGTTATAACCTAATAAAACACATTGCAACATGCAATCAGCCATAACCTCCAACGGTATTTGAATGATTTGTCTTAGGAACTAAAGCAATGATCGTGTGATTTATTTGCTTTAAGAGCGAACATAAGTTAAAAAATTTCAAGACCGCCCCCTTAAAATTTCTTCCAACAACTCATCAAGGCTTCTTAAAGAAGCAAGATGAGTATCCATCCGGACCCAGTGATTTATCATCTCCAATAGAAAAATAATGTATCTTTAATCTCTTGCTCCAAGATGTCCCTAGTTAATGCCAGAGCATGCTCTTCAGATAACACGGAGCTACCCCTCAAGATGTCAACGTCAATAGGCCTTCTCGGGCTATTTTTTCCCAACAAACCTCCATAGGACCGCACAAATTCATCAGCCACTTCCTCCAAAGAAGAGGTATAAGAACCATCTCCTTTACATACCATCTCAATGAAGTTGACTGACTTATTTTCAATAAGTTTAAAATGGGCGACCGATTTAAACAACTACTAAAGTTTGTGGTTAATTGTGTTATTTCCCACGTGACAGCTGACACACAGCAAGGATCCACTTGGCAATGGGTTCAGATCCGTCAATAAATGGGCCAAGTTTCAGTCCAAAGCCCAAGTTCAGACCATTTTACTTCTTCTTTGTTTGAATTTGTTTTGTTGAAATTATAGCTCATGTTTGAGCGACTGTGCTACATATACATCACAATTTATATATTTGTTTATTAACAAATTATATGATGATATTTGATTGGGTCAAAATTTCTCCAACCAAGTAAAATAAATCTCACTTCATTTTTGCCACCTCATCATTGTGAAGGAATCTGATGTGAAATAAATATTTTTCAAGTTTGAGCCCCATTATTTAAAATCTCATTTTCAATTATACATTTTTTTTAATAAAATATTTTGCGCGTAAACCCAAAACTTCTTTCTACTTTTTAACCAAACATTTTTTTTAAAAACATTATTACAAAACTCATTTTAGGCTCAAACATAGGCATAATGTTATAGAAATGAAATGTGAATGGTTGAATAATAATTACTGATTACGAAATATATGATTAAAATTAAAATTTGATGGGCGACTTTTAAATTTCAATTTGATTTAATATCTAGTGGAAACAATGTTTGTGTTGTCATTTTTAATTTCAGTGATGTAATTTATAAATGTTGTCAATGCTTCCTAACTCGATGTGTAGTCTCAACCAATCAACTTAGAAAGGACAAAAAAATTGAAAATGCACCCAATAGGATAGTAAAAAATATTCCATACTGGTTCATTGGATTGAAATGCTAAGTTTCAGACTTTTTTCTTCTGAATTGCTAAGGTGATTCTATGATGTCAATAGAAAAAATTACGAAAAATTCATCCAGCTTTAATTTTATAAAACCAAGTGCGTAGTTGGCTTCGCCGCTAAATCCACCCTCGCCTATTTTAAAGGTTGAACCCCAACCTTGAGGGCCCCCCACCGACCCTGCCCCGAGCCATTGTGGAGGAGGTAAATCACAAAATGTGCCTCCCAGGAGTCAAGGTGGAGAGCTTATGGATAGGCCTGGACTATTAACCCTATGGTAACTCGCGCTTGCAACAAAGCCAATTCCACCTTGCGAGGAATCGAACTCTGCACACNTGCGGGGAATCGAACTCTGCACACTACCGCGCTGAACCCTAACCGCCCTCCCCTTTGCCATTGGGAGATATGCCCTGGGGGCCACCCTCGCCTATTTTATATGTGATTAGATTTGGTCAAAGAGATTTTTAAGTGTTCACAAATCATAGATTGATAGTATTACCTAATTGTAGGAAATTAGGTAGCCAAATTAACGGAAACACAATCAGGCCCATTACCGAGAGACTTTGAATCAAAGTCCCTAAAAGCCTTCTCTTTTACAGAGAGAATCATCCTCCATCTCAATTGGGTCAACACAATCAGGCCCATTACTGCATCAAATTTTTTTTCATAGACTTTACCGAAATGCTCTCTCTCTCTCTCTCTCTCTCTCTCTCTCTCTCTCCATTGAAAAAAGTCAAAATTCTTCATATTCTCATTCTCCCATGAATCATTATCATTTTAATATTTTGTTTTAAATTTCCAGTACTAACACACAATCCAAATAAAAAAAAGGAAGTCAGCAACGTGTCATCCCAAACCTCTCATTGGACCACCGTAAAACCACTGATAAATGTATTTTATATACTTATTTAGGTCTAAAATAGCGATATTTGATAGTTTTTTTTTTTTACAAAATATATCTTAAATTGTTGTATTTTATGTTATATACGTAAAACTCAATGGTTGAACGAAAAATTAAAAGAAAGAAACGAAAATTGGTGAAAATGGGTGAAATTCAAAGATTGGGGACCAAATTAAAAATATTTAATAGTTGATTCAGACTACAAAACTATACTTTGAAGAATGCCAGGAGACAATTGGGTGGAATTAGAACTCAAAAACGAATGAAATATGATCAGAATATTATTGAAATCAATTTCCAATGGTACAAGTTATATTCCAAATTTTTAGAAAATTGACACACATTTTTAGCATAGTAAACATCCGAATTAGAAACATTTTATTTCTTTTAAAATTGTAGTCCTTTGAGTTATCTTCCTAACTCACTTTGATATGCCAAGAGATAAATTTTTGACCAGAATACTAACTACTGTACAAAGACGAAAACATCTGCGCGCGAAGACAACTTTTCTTATTCGAATGGAGTTCTTTTGGAAAACAATTTGAACGACAATAATTTTCTACTCCTACAAATACCTAACGGAAGAGTACATATTGGGGACATCTCATAAATATCACATTCTAAAATATTCCATCAATTTTCATCATAAAAGAGGAGTAATATCATATATTGTGATAAGATTTCAAAGACGAAGCTTAAGAACTCATCAATTGAA